AGATGTATAAATCTCAATTTTGAAAAATTGACACTTAAGACTGGTTTTGTGGTTCAGGGTCACATTTGTCAGAGTAATAAATAGCGGCTTCAATTCTGTGTTTGCAGAAACTTAAGTAATAATAAACTGCGGGACATCCGTGAGGGGTCGTTTGATGGGGCCGGAGGTGTTTTGGAGCTGCTGTTGACCGGAAACAAGCTGCAGTCGGTCAGCGGACGGATGTTCAAGGGTTTGAGCGGCCTCAAAACGCTGTAAGTATCGCCAACGTTTAAGCTCATTTTTCATTTCTCCACTGTTGTCCTGCTCATTCAAATGAAGACATGTCTCTGAGCCACGTTTACATTCATATATTCACACGGTTTTGAATATAAATGCACAAACACCAGAGTTACGGCATTGGAAATGTGTTCATATAGGCTATGAATTCAAGAAAAATTGCCTGTTCTCAGCAAAAACTGTGATCGTCAGTCTAATCACGATGCTGAGCGCGAGAAGCTATTCTAAGAAACTCACGGGCATAGATGTCCTCTATGCTGGCACGCTGTCGGGAACAAAGATGCTAATACAATGCATATTCTGAAGCCTGGTGGTTAGAAAAAGCCTTCCTAAGGTCTGCTGTCGCTTTAATTAGCTTAATTGGAGAGAGAGGAGTGCATAGGAGCAAATGAATGGAATCATGGTCCTGCAATATTGGATTTAGTGGCTTTCAAATCCCAGGAGTATGTGTCCAAATTGAGTTTGCTCGTCTCAGATCCCTGTTTGTCAGAGTTTAATGCCGAATTTGCTGCTTTCGGGTCTTCATCACGACAGACTCTGGTTTGCATTTAGCCTGTTTGTGCTGCTGAGGGCCTTTAGGAGGACCTGATTGTTTTGGGCAGCTCAGCCCTCCCCAACCAAACGCACACAAACTCATCTTGTCCCGTGTCAAGCGGCGAGCTGCCTCAGCGGCCTGTGTCTGCTGCACAGAATCTCGGAGAGCAGACGCAGACACGTTTACCTGGCGATCTCAAAGACCAGAAAGCCAGAGACTGAACCAGAGACTTCTGTTGTTCAAATACAGCTCGTTAACCCAGACTCTACACCTAAAACATGTTTTGCGTTTTCAGAATTAAAAAAAAAAATAGATTAGAAACTCTAGGGTTTGTTCATGGATTTATTAAACTCAAGTGAAGTTATATTATATATATATATAATGTTTCACATATGATAACATTCTATTAAATATGTTTTATATAAATAAATGATTTATATATTTTATGTGATAGGTCGGGTTCTTTCTAGGAGAGGGCACAAAATATATTTCAGATCTTTGCATATAATTTTTATGTTATATTTATAATAATGTGCAACAAGGATGTGTTATTGATTTTTATTTTTTTTTAAGTGATAAAGACTCGTACTGTTAGAATGTAAATGTTGTTCTTTTGAACTTTTTATTCATCAAAGAATCCAGAAAGAAGTATCACAGTTTCCAAAAAAATATCTGGCAGCACAACTGTTGCCAACATTGATAATTCTAATAATAAATCAGCATATTAGAATGATTTCTGAAGGATCATGTGACACTTTGTACTGGAGTAATGGCTGATGGAAATTCAGCTTTGCATCACAGAAATAAATTATATTTTAAAGGATTTTTTATATTTTAAAGGATTGTAATAACATTTTGCAAGATTACTGTTTTTTTCTGTATTTTTGATCAAATAAATGCAGCCTTGGTGAGCATAAGAGACTTCTTTAAAAAACATTACAAGTCTTACTGATCCCAAACTTTTGAGTGGTGGTTGTATGTGTATATATATATATATATATATACTCTATTTAACTGACTTGCTGGGTTAAATAAAGGTTAATGACATTGCCAGTTTAGCAATGTTTCATTTGAATGGTCTGATACACAGTAAGTGCTGTCTGCTGAAGCCCCATCAGATTTCCTTCCTGTAAATTATTTCACACCCATCAGATCACTCCAGACTCCTGTCTCGATATGCGCCTACTTTCCTCCCTTACACCAGTTTGTGTGTTTACCCACCCACTGCATGTATGCCACATTCACAAAATAATGTTTCTGAAGTGAGGTGTTAGCAGTCGTACCATAGAACCACTAGCCACTGACTGAATGCATTACAGAGTCTCATGAACTCTCCGTTCCTCCCTCTCCGTGAGCTGCATGCCGCTGTCTGTCAGACTCAATGTGATCCCACCTGCCTCTGTGTTCCCGTCAGGATGCTGAGGAGCAATCAGATCAGCTGTGTGGATAACGCCACCTTCACCGGCCTGAGCTCCGTTCGCCTGCTTTCCCTCTACGACAACCGGATCTCCACTATCGCCCCGGGAGCTTTCAACACCCTGCATTCCCTCTCCACCATGTGAGTCCTCCACTCTCTCACACACACACACACACACACACACACACATTACCCTCTGTGTCATGGGTTCACACGGTCAGTTATGCATCCATAATCAACTGGAATTCTTTAGTGCAAAAAATATATATATATTTTGAAAGAATTAGGCATTTTAAAGCACAACTATCTCTGCTGCCTAATAAAACTATTTGTTGAAGTTCCTGTCTCTGTACCAAACCCACAAATGAGTTAGTTGAAAAATTCACAAAGACGCAGGAAGTCAAACACAGTCTATTCTAACCGAAATATGTGAGCAGATTCTGAGCAGAGAGACTCTCAGATTGTTCTGGTTTGCATGGGGTGTCATTCCTTCCATTCTGACCATCTAATCAAGTTTAACATGCATAAACAACAGGAAGAATTTACACAATGAAGTCATCTAATCAGTAACATATATTTTCCTTTTTTTATCAAGGCATAAACAATGCATAAACTTCTTTGACAACCTTTTTCTAGCTTAGCACTATAGGACGGCTTATGTTATTTTTATTTTATTTTTGTTTTGTTTTTTTGGTTTGTTGTGTTTTACTTGGTGTTTTGTGTTGTCTCTTTTTCTTTTCTTTTTTGCTTTGTTTTGTTTAGTCATGTTTGCTTTGCTTGGCTTTACTTTGCTGTGCTTTGTTTTATTTTTGTTTTGTTTGTGTTGTCATGTATTGTTTTTGCTCTTCCATTCTTAATAAAAACATACATATTTATTTTTTATTTAAATAAAATATTGTATTCTAAAATATTCTATATGTAAATATATATTGTTTATATAAACATATATTTTGTAAATGTTTACATCTTAAAAATTTTGTTTTTAAATATTATTTTCTCTAATAGAATAAATTATTCTTAAATATTCTCTTCTATATTCTTGAGACCTCCATGTAGAATGTATGATATACTTCTTTTCAGCTAAATGAACATTAAGAACATATATTGTATATTAAATATATTGTATGGAATCTGCAAAACACATTCAATTCGTTTTTCCTTCTTATGCCATAAGCCAACTTTTCCAATCAATCTGTTGTGCTTTTTCTTTCAGACTCATTCTTTTCATTCTCTCTCTTTTTTGCCAGCTCTCTAATTACCCAGCGGCTGACACAGCCATGTCCATCTCAGCACAGGGCAGCTAAAAATATCCAGAGAGAGAGAGCAAGGCCTCCCCAGCTATTCTCTTCCCACAGTAGTGCAGCAGGCATGTTGGGCACACTTCCCTCCTGTTTCTCTCTCACTCCATCATTCATCCCTCCACCTCTGCCCAAATTAGAGCGGAGCGGGAGTGTGTTTCCGGTAGGAGAGTTTGGAGTGAGCAGTCAGGACAGAGGTTACTTTTGAGTGCTCGCATTTGTGATTATCACAGTAAAAATAGCCACGTGTTTTGTCAGTTATGTCCCATTTATTAAATTTAGCAGCATAAATATTCTCTCATGTCTAGTGTGCGATATCATTCCCAAAGCAAATGTCTGCCTGGCTTGTTCTCTCTCAGCCGGGGTTTCTTTGATTTTGAAGTGTGTACAGAAAGCGATGTAAGAATAATTAAAGGCAAACACATTGCAGGGTAGTGTTAACATGAGCACATCCCCTTAAGCTGCGAAGCATCTATTGGCGAAGCAGCGGAAGGTCAGCACACTCGATTAATTTATCCCGCAGGCTGTAGCGCAGCAGATACTCTATGAAAGAGTTCCTCTGTGCCTGTACTAGCGCTGCTGTGTGTTTCAGTAATGCATCCCGTCTGAGTGGGCCGTCAGCCAGCTCCCTGGTGGGCCTTCTACAGTCATTGCTGGTGACGCTTTCAACTCAAGGCTACAATTATTTGATTTAGGTCTGTGTGCCACCACCTGAACTTTCAGAACTCAGTGAGGACTCCAGCGGTCCCTGTAGCCATTGGTTAATGGATCGTTCTGGACCCAAACGTGATGAAAATGTGTCTGTGTCTTATTCGTGAGCCCTTGTTTTAGTTTTTTTTTTTTTTTTTTTTTGATATATATATATTTTTTTTTGTCGTAGAATTTTTATTACAAAATTGCACTTTTACATTTTATAACATTCACATCCTACCCAACCCAATGATCCAAAACTAAAACAGAAGGACATATGAAAAAGGTCCAACTACAAAATAATAAATTAAAATATAATAATAATAATAATAACACAAAACTACTCCTCAAAATAGTAAACGAGAAAAAGAATTATACCTCCCCTCAATCTACCTCCAGAATACGTATATCATTAAAGTAAGTAATAAATTGTTGCCATTTTTCAAAAAAGCATTCCCCCCGTCTCTGATATTATACTTGACTTTTTCAAGTTTTAAAAGAAGATTAAATCTTTAAGCCACACTTAAAGAGGGAGGAGGTCCAAGATAACAGTATTCTGCACCGAGCAAGCAATGATACAAATGCTGCGGCACTACCTTGTTTATGGTTCAGAGGATAACACTGAGATGGAACACCAAAAATGGCAATTAAAGGGCAAATGTCTTATTTGATTTTAAGAACATCGGAGACAATTTTAAAGAAAGAGTTCCAAAAATTCATGCAAACATATGGCTGAGGTTACAGGGTGAAAGTTAGCATTTTTCACATATGTCGGGAACGTTAGGATATATTTTTGATAGTTTAGTCTTAGAAAGATGAACTCTATGGACCTCGTATTAGTTTTTAAAGCAGCTTACTTGTAGTTGCTGTTTTATAACAATGTAATAACACAGCAAACGTTGCTGTCAAACGCTGTCAGCATTGCAGGTCGCATCGCAGTCACAATATGTAATTGTATTGCTATTTAAATGCAAATTCAGTTCTCCTGCTGGGTTAAATGGGCTGGAGTTGAATCGTTTATGTGGTAATTTAACCCTGCTGATTGCTTTCCGTTGTAATTATATAGTAATGGGGTTTGTGTTTTCTTTCTGTTTGTGTACAGTAACCTGCTGTCTAATCCCTACGTGTGTGACTGTCACTTAGCCTGGCTGGGACTGTGGCTTAAGAAGACCAGGGTGGTTAGTGGCAACCCACGCTGCCAGAAACCTGCCTTCCTGAAGGAGATCCCCATACAAGATGTAGCCATGCCTGATTTCTCCTGCGACGGTATAACTCGATTTTGGCCACTTGCACAATATCTGCTGCTTGCCACGTTGATGGATCAGTAACTCAGCAAATGCCTGTATCAAAGAATGCATATTGAGAAATAAATCAGTCGTGCATCACAGTGGTTTTACCACAGTAAAGGAGCAAGCACCTTGTTAGCCTGACCACCTTAACTTTGGTGCAATCACTGTAACCAGGTTTCAAAATTAACTTTTACCACAACTGCCAATGGTTGGTGAGTGATTTATTGTCATTAATAGTTTATATGATATACTTTTATTATAAACATGTGATGATATATAATAAAATGATATTATGTTTATGATATAATTATCATAATTATTGCTTACTGGGCATTAAACTGTATATTACTATCAAATAAAAATATAATAAATAGAGTAAATAAAATAAAAAGTAAATGAATTTCATTCATATATTATTAGACGTTATAGTGACTATTGCTATTGGTATTAATAATAATAAAAATAATAAAAAATTATTTAGGGACATATATATAAATATTTACACACTGTATATATGGAGTTACCCTTTAACTGTTATATTGTACATTTACCGTTTTAAATATATACATTTACTGTATATATATATATATAATTTTTTTTAATGCCATTTTCTATACTCCCATGTCTCCATCTATACAATTTTGTAAATTAATTTATAAAATAATAATGATAAAATAATTTAGGCTCATATGTATATATATTTACACACCGTATATATGGAGTTAATTACCCTTTAAATGTTATATTGTACATATATACAGGTTTATCACCTCTTTCACAACAACTTTGAACGTCGTTCATGCAACAAGAACACTGTGTGTATATATATATATATATATATATATAAAACACCCACAAAAGAAAAAAAATAGCAGCTTCTTTCTGTACAGACAAAGAGGTGAACATCAGAACTGTAAAAAAGTTATCAAAAGTGACTTAAACCAATGATTTGTGTGTAAATGATCTTGTGGTCTAACATAGAACTGTAAGACCCTTCTTAGAATCATATGAAACTCCTTTATGTCCACACTAGCCTGTTGATATACACTCTTTACAGGACGCTGAACAAGGGTTTGCAGACCTCAGCTAGTATTTGCCTTGTAGCCTGTGCCATCCACACCACATCCATCTCCAGTTCCCATGAAATCATGCTGCTTAGATCAGGCCGCTGAATCGGCTACTTCCAGACCGAGGCACTCTCCATCTCCCATCTCCTTGGATTTCCCATACCTTCATCCCCCTCTCCCTGCTTCTCAGCGTCAGAGTAAATCACACCCGTCCAGCTTCCCACAAGGCCGTACTGAGAGGGCAGCATGAGGACAAATTTTCATGAGGCCTAAACATTATCTTCTCCAACTCTGGTTTTTATAGGGAAGAACTTGTGTCCATAAAGAGGGGGAAAAACAGAACCTCTCGAGACCGACATAAAGTTTAACAGAGAAAAAGAAACTGCGGTTTGGCTTCTGTCTGGCTGGGGTCCTGTGTTTCAGAAGGCCTCCCTGTCAAAGCTATGGTAGAAACAGCTCTTTTGCTGCTTCAGGGAATATCGTGTTAAGCGAGCCTGCTCAGCTGTAGATGGGCGAAGCACTTTGAAATAAAGAGGTTCAAAGTGAGAGAAATCGCCCTGGCTCGAGGTCCATTAGTTAGAAGAAGCTGTCTGTCAGGGCTCATGTGTTGTTATTCCGTTCATTTCTTCCTCCTAATTACGCTGCTTAGATCAGGCCGCTGCATCGCCTCCTTCCAGACCGAGGCTCTCTCTCCACTCCATCTCCTCGGATTTCCCACACCTTCATCCCCCTCTCTCTGCTTCCCAGCGTCAGGGTAAATCACACCCGGCCAGCTTCCCACAAGGCCGTACTGAGAGGGCAGCACAAGGACAAATTCAACGCTGAGCGTGGAGGCCTCAGCATTATCTGGTTTTTATAGGGAAGAACTGGTGTCCATAAAGACGGCGGGAAAACAGAACCTCTCGAGACTGACATAAAGTTTAACGGAGAAAAAGAAAGTGCGGTTTGGCTTCTGTCTGGCCCGGGGTCCTGTGTTTCAGAAGGTCTCCCTGTCAAAGCCGGGGTGTTTTGGGTAGAAACAGCTCTTTTGCTGCTTCGGGGAATATCGTGTTAAGAGAGCCTGCAGCTGTAGACAGCCGAAGCACTTTGAAATAAAGAGGTTGAAAGTGAGAGAAATCGCCCTGGCTCGAGGTCCATTAGTTAGAAGAAGCTGTCTGTCAGGGCTCATGTGTTGTTATTCTGTTCGTTTCGGCTCCAAACAACTCACCACCACAACATCCAGCTATTTCAGTGCTCTGCAATTACAGTTAGAGTAACAAAGTCAAGCTAAATTGATTTACGGGAAGATATTTTTGGTCGTTTGAAGGAGTCCAGTCATTGTAAAACTAGCCCACAGCTCCTTTGGCTCTTCTGCGTTTGCAGGCACGTCCAGATCCGGCGTTCTCCTTCCAGACTCGGTCTGCGTGTTATTGTTGGAGCATATCTCAGTCTCCATTACCTCCCATTAATGGCTTAATTCGCTGTTTCTTTTTAATCTGCAGGGTAATTCAGCCTTTTACAGATAGCGTCATACAGAGCTTGGATGAAAGCAGCTCGGGAGGAGGCTACAAGTATTGCTTGCAGGAAATGTGGAGCGAGCGAGGCCAAAAGCAATATTTAGCTGCTGATTTTAAACTCCTGTGCACTGTATCAGTTCGCAAGCATGCGATGTAATATTGATACCCGTGTTTGGAGAATGGGCTATTTTCAATGCAATTCAGTGCACGCAGCACCTGTGCTCTTTCTTCCGTTCTCTCTCTCTTTTTCTCTGTCCTCCATTACTTCCTTTTAAAGAATTGATGAGTTTCTATATTAGATCTGTTAGCAACACATATTACGTTTTTCTCTTGCATGATGTAAAGGAGCATAAAATATGCATGTGTTTCTCTCTCTCAGGTGCGGAAGAGAATGTCTGTCTGCCGTCGGCCCCTCGATGCCCCGATTCCTGCACATGCTCGGACGCGGTGGTGCGCTGTAGTAACCGCGGGCTGCGTTCGCTGCCTAAGGGTATCCCTAAAGATACAACTGAACTGTGAGTTTATCCTTCTAGCTCCCTTTATTTGTCTTTCTTCCTGTCACGTTTTCATCTTTTTCAGTTTAGAATAGACAGTTTATTTCCACAAAAGACAGGATTTTGTTTCTGTAAGGGTTGGCGCAGTGTCACATCCAGGTTTTGTTTTCTACTTGGCCAGTTTAGTTAAAATAAGCAAAAAATAATTTAATTCATTTGACCATTGATCCAAGTGACCTTCGAGATGCAGATGGAGATTTGATTCAGTGTCGGACAGACTGATTGATTAATTGATTGGGAATGACAAAGCTCTAACAGAAACCGCATGATTGAATTTAAACAAAATATGAACAAAAAATTTGAATACAGCAGTGCTATACATTTGTACAACAAGACTGGAACAATGCGTTCAAAGTCATTTTGTTGTTGTTGTTGTTGTTGTTGAGAAAATTCATTTTCTTTCAAACTAGAACTAGCCTTTCATGATATTTGATTTTCACTAAACATTTCGTTATTTGGCCAAAATAATTGATGGTTAGCTATATTATTGCAATATCTAAAGAAATTAAGACAAAAAAAAAACATTAAAAAAACATCTATCAACTCTATCTATCTATCTATCTATCTATCTATCTTATCTATCCATCCATCCATCCATCCATCATCTATCCATCTATCCATCTATCCATCCATCCACCCACCCA